ACATCACAAACGATGGATTTAGCTGAGTTCCAGATGAGTCTCTTGCAAAACCAAATTTGTTTGCAAATCAGTGTTTCGCTAGTTTGGTGCAATTTGGTTTCGATTAGAACAGAAGGTTGAAGGAAACTCGGGGACTCTGCCTACTCGATGAGCCCAAGAAGGGCGAAACCGGTAGTGGGCTGTCGACGAATTTTCAGCAACCTTACGAGTAGTGCATTACGAGTATACATGTATGATGATATTTTACTTCATAATGACCTTAATCTCAGTAAATTGCGTTGGACTAGAAAAGCCTATTTTGGCCTGTTTTCAAACCTGAGTGGAAAAAAGACTAGCCGTATTTCATGTGAAAATACGCATGTTTTCGTAAGTAAAGAGAAAGAGGACAAAACACTAAGGAAGTAGTAATACCTGACGATGCAAGCAGGAAACTCGGCCTTTTAAAACGCTCTGCACTCAACCACACCATGGTGTGTGGAAGGCTGCCTAGACCACAACACTTTGCTCCTCTTTCGGGACCTGAATCGGACTGATGTAGCGGATGAGACATTGGAAGATCCGTGACCTTCTTCGTAAATGGATGAAAATACAGAATGTATGCTGTATTACTTATCCCCCGTATATGGCCAGTTTGTCCACTGCGTTCACCGCGTTTAGAGCGGATACCGTCTATTCGTCCAAGTTCCATCATCCTCACTAATGGACTTTCACTAAGGGCAGTCTCAATTTGATAGCATGTAATAGCTTTGAAGGCAGGGACCCCACAATCCACTGTGTTCAACTGATCACTTCAAGCTTTCAACCGAAGTGTGCTCACATCAGTTTGGCCACTGTTTCGGCAGTTAACATATCATTTCCACACTCACGTATTATTCAGCAATTAAACTATCAGTTGCATGCGTGAGATGTGGGCGTCTCTGTAGCACGTGTCTGTTCAATGAGGATCGCGCACGACAAACTGAATAGTTCTGCAGGATAGCAAGTAAGGGACGTTTTACCGTGATTATGAATAAATGGACAACCATTAAAATCAGCGATACTATTCAGAGTTTCTCTCATTATTTATTCTTCTCATAATTGAGCCGAAACTTACCGCTGATGTACCAATAATTCTGTTAGAATTCCATATTCGAACAACACTACCGTTGAAGTCAATCGAGTGAACGTCATAACCGTGAATAACCTTGATCGGTAGCATTTAGCACGAGGTAGTCTCAACGGGGCCAAACAAAATGAAACCGCTAGTTATGTCTTCAGCTTTATTGGCTGAAACTTAGCGGGCGTACGGCTAGTTGTGTGTTACAGGAGATCGTTCGGTTTGCGCTAAAATGTTAGGTTAGTATCAGGTCAACGGTATGATAAATGGGGTAGTTTTACCGCATATTGTGCGCGAAGTAGTGTCTGGTGTTCCACCTCGAAGTAGCAAGACTACAAGTAAAGAATAGGGCGTGGACCAGATCGGGTACTGACCTACAACACTTGCGAGCTGGGAAAAGGTTAACCCTATGTATTAGCTAGTTTGTGTGAGCGTTGACGCAGCGTAATAGTCACAGGAAAGGTCTCCCATCCTTATCGATGGTATAGGACTGGGATCGAACTTCTGCGAAGCACTCGGAAGATAATGGGCCGATGACTGGATGTCTGACAGGTGTGTCCATGTGATTTAAGTTACCACGTTCCACCCATAGTGTTAGACTATAGGGGAGAAGTTTGCGTTCGGCTGGTTTGTGTCACTGAACACATCGAGAAAAATATCCACTTGTGATGGGGCGACTTTATTGCCTTCCCGTAAGTTCCCGCTGCACGAAGCCGTTTCAGAAACTCTTCAAGACGACTGAAATGCAGAGATTTCGTCAATTCTGGGACACAGTGTGCCGTCGAAAACTGAAAAAAAAACCACTCAGCAGTGATATGCGCATAAATGTTGGTCAGACTTTCGTGTGGTGATTTGAAAATCTCTTACTGGAGCTTACGAAATATTTCCATATAAAACAGCACGCACTTTACGGTTAAGGCCTTCGAGTCTTGCAGAGAAACCTCACATGCTAACATCATAAGTGTAGTTGGATGCTTGTCACAGTCCAGTGGGGTGCTCGGATTTAGCAGGAAGTAGATTAACTTCAAGGAGATCCCCCGGTGAAAAAGTTTGTGTTGTCTGGTGTTATTTAATAGTGTATCGTCTTGGAAAGCATTAAGGAACCATCCTACCTCATGTTTCATTCGTGTGGTGTACCGACGCAAACGCCAACGCCAAAACTGCTTGTCTGGCTTCTTAATAGTCTTAGTCAGTGGATTAGTTTCACGGTGTCCTGAACTGGATTGGTTGACTGAATCACGTTAGTTAGGCTCCAGGGGCCACATTTTAAGGTTACGGGCTGACTGACGTGAGATGATTGGATCAGGGCCAAAGGACTTTCTAAAGATGTGACATTAGTTTGATTTCTTCAGAGTTGTTTTCGACACTTCGCTGATACTTTCGTCAAAAACACACAGATCATCTACGACTACGGTGCACTGAGTTGGAGTGCAAGTAGGGGTTCGTCAGCGTACTTTCTGTCCTATTATCCAGAGTAGTTTGTTAGAATTCGAGGTTCCCATACTATGAAACTGTGAACCAATTTGATGTAAAAATCCAGAGTAGTTTGTTAGAATTCGAGGTTCACATACTATGAAACTGTGAACCAATTTGGTGTAAAAAAACGACGTCACAAAACTGTTAGGAGAGTCGGCTGATGTCTGATCTAAGCCTATCTTTGATTTGACCAAATCCAACGTGGTAATGGTGAACTCTGCTGAAAACTGCCTAATCGTGCTTCCAAGTTAGACTTTTCCACTCGAAAGCATGTTTTAGCAAGATATCCGGTAAATCGCATTCACCTGCGCTGGAGTGTGCAGAAGCTACTCTCAAACCGGTCGGATGTCCAACTACACCGATTAGCCGAGCTGCCGAACGGAGTCAACGTAACTTGAGTTCCCAGACCAAACATTTTCCATCTGGAGCGTTGGCTTAGTTTACCACTTACTGTCTTTCACGTGCACTTTTTCGTTGGATTACTTGTAGCCATTGATTTACTGATTGTGTATCTAGCTATATCTTGTCTGTCTAATGCACCTCACCGATTCATTTCAACATCATTTGGAAGAGTGGCGCACAGAATGTGGTAATAAGACTTTGAAGCTTGATTATGTAAGTGGCTTCATCTGACTGTACATAGGGTCTAGCTGGGACACGAACCTAAAGTGCTATATCGCCTTGGGTGGTAAAGTGTACTTGGGCAGAATGACTGTGAGACGCACACTCAGCTGGATTAAAACGATCGACAGGTAACCATAATGGCGTGACAAATTTGCAGAAGCCTGTCATCAGAGTGGCCAATTCACATACATCGAGTAGGGATGGGCAAATATCCGGAGAAGTTAAAGTAACTCATGATATCGACAAATACTCTCATTTGCAGACAAATTTGGTTGTGACGAGTGACTAAACTAAATCCAGCTGAATATGTTGTTTATGATGGTCCGCTTCAGCTGAATGTTCTGCACCAGGACGCCTCATGTTTCACTTGGTAGGATATTGGAGATATCTCAAAACGTTGCTGTTTAGACGTAAAAAACTACTCATTGTGGTCGGTGCAAACTCTCCGACAGTGCACGATTAACTGAGCCTAATCGGGTGTTTGAAGAAATCTGCCAAATTTGGTTTCAGCTAGTATGTGGGGTTGACAAAAACTTGGGTACAGCGCTTACCTGATGAGTTCCAAGAAGGATGGAACAGCTCCTGTGCTTTCGGGGAGTTTTCAGTAGCCCTATGAGTAGTGCATTGCGTCTAGACATTTAAGAACGCGCGGCTCGCAGATATGGGCACTTCAGTAAAGAGTGGTTCACGCAGTTTAGTTGTTCGGGGCTATAGTTTGCAACCCTTGGAGCTGTCACTCGTTTTGTTACTCGAATGTAACTAGGGTTATCATGTATTCGAATAATCCTGGGCTACCTCAAATTGTGTTGGATTTCAGACATTGAAGGAGCTTAGCTTAGCGAAATACACTCATTTGCAAACAAATTTGAAAGAGACTCACCTGGAACCCAGCTGAATCTTTCGTTTGTGATGTTTCCATACAAATGAATGTGCTGCACCAGGCCACCTTATGTTTCAGTCGGTACGATATTCGAGATATCGCGACACATGTATATTCATTATGCACTACTCATAAGATTGCCGAACCATAGGAGCTGTTTGAATAGATTGATTTTTGTTCAGGAAACCTCTTAGTGTTTTCTGGAAGTCCTTCTTTTGTTTGAAACGATGCTTTAAAAGCATGACTGTTTTTCCCACTCGTTTAGGATATACTTACGACAGTTTGCCCCTCTTGGGAACATAACTTATGGAAAATCCGTTTTAGTTGACTTCAAGAATAATATCCAATATTGTGAAGGATTAACGGTTACCAGACAAAATGTCGCAGGAACTAAAATAGAACAGGCTGCTTTCCTAACTGCCCTCCCCCCAGAGAACCGTATCCACATAATCAAATGTAACTAACCATGCAGAAAGTTGCGCCGACCTTAAAATACATCTTTTTTAAAGGTGACCTGTTGTCCCCGCATTTCGTATATCGCCGAATATATCGAAAATTGCTCTGAATAATTTCGCCAAATGTTCTATATTCTAAGCCCTTTGATCCAAAAGTGGACACTTTCTCACAATCAGGTTTTTGAGGAATTTTGCCATGCATGGTTCTTATCCAATCTCAACGCTCAGCAGTGCCCCTTGGTCTCAGTGTATCCATTTTGGTGTGTTTTGAAAACGCGCCTTCCCGGCACATGGGCGCAGGAGCATTTACGTTTCAATGCGTGAACATTGTACTATAAAACAGCAACTGGTCCTGTGTTTCCATTTTACTCTTTTTAAAGCATTGGTTACTTAGCCTGGTTTACAAAAACTGTAATTGTTCAAGCATATAAAAGGCCATTTGAATGTTTGAATAGACATCGGTGGTCGGCTGAACCAACAACCGTTCACAAGCTGGACAAAACGAGCGGTAAGTCGATGAAAGTTTGTAGCTGATAGGGATAACAAGTTACTACAAGTGACACCAGGTTTGATGACTTCGTATCTTTACTAAGTCTAGCTCAAAGTTTCAGCACCATCTGTGACATCGGTAGTTTGCGTGAACTCTGAAATGACAGTGTTATGTCATTTCAAAAGGCTTGCCTATGGACACCGGTTAGGATTTGCTTGACCCGCAGTAGACAGATCGCCATGACATTCTAGTAAAGCAAAAGTGTCGATCAAGTATCGTTCGGAGTTGATAGGCTAAACTGTATTGAGCATCCAGTTTATTAGGAGCTTGTTTGACAAGGAGTAGCTCTCTGCGAGTCCAAAGAACTTGCAATATGTGTGGTTTGTCTACCTCACTGGATGACTTCTTGATTCCTCCTGGTTTGTGACAACTGCAACTGTGTACCTGCATGGTATGAGAGCGCTTATTGGATAAATGGATACTGCCTTCCGACGATTTAGGCAGTTAGACTATTGGGTCTACATAAAACTGCATTCCAGCTATAAGCCATTGCGAATACCAAGTTCCAAAATAAAGAAGAATTTTCTTGATTTTGATGTTTCCAGGCCGAGAGATTCAGCTAGGTTTCAGGTGAGTCTCTTGCCAATTTGGTGCAATTTGGTTTCAAGTAGAACATAAGGTTGACGGAGACTCGGGGACTGCGTCTATCTGATGAACCCCAAGAAGGGTGAGACTGATCGTGAGCTGTCGAGAATTTTTCAGAAATCTTATGAGTAGTGCATTACAAAAATATAGAGGAATTTTTCTGTTACCCGGACGTTTCTCAGGTCGGGAATGTCTCTGACCCCTGCAAAACCCAGGCAAATGCTTTGAGCAGTGTTGATCTAACCAATCATAACTGATTTCTAATCATGCAAATTTCTCAAATAACGCAATATCAAGGATCCAACAACAACAACTTTCTTTGGTATTTCGTGCAAAAGAATCAAATGTGGTCTTATTATCCCCCCTTCACAGGGATGTTTGCGATGGGACTGAGATGGTTATTCATCAGTCTGTTGATATTCGGACAATCGGGAGCCACACCCATCCAAATGGAATCACTAACAAATGGCGCTACAGAGGAATATCCTGCGGAAACAACTATGGAAAGTAACTGGCCTCAAGAGATTGCACCTGAAGTGCACATCACTCTATTCAGGTACGTTGACCTTCGGAACTGGTCATTAGAATAAACAGTGAGGCAGGCAGTACATCTGAGTTTTGTTCACATTCCGTATCTAGGCAAAGAACTTAATGTACAAACACAGAAAACGATGAAATTCTGCTATGCAGTCAACGCACTCGTGCAAAATGACTTAACTCAGTATTAAATACTTTTCCCGTATCTAGTGAACTAACGACAAATGAGCCCGTAGAAAATACCCCGGTGACCGAATTAGGAGAACAACACGCGGAAGAGGAGGAATCAACAGAAATGTTTTACACGAATCTGGCAGATGAAGACGGACATGTCACCATGGAGGAGGTGAGTTTAGACAATATTTACCTGGTTCAAAAACAATACTTGCGTTGATAGCCTAAGTGTTCAACGTTCCCTCCCTTTGCTATTTCATCAGTTTTCGAAGCGGCGTTGTCAGCTGTTGTATCTTGCGGTGGCCGTCTATGGGTTACGCCTGCACTGAGCCTGCCAGACTACGTGATAGGGAGAAGACAGAGAACTGGGGACACGGCTGTATTGCCAGGACAAAACATACAGAGCGTCTGCGTAAATATATAGGATGACCAATTGGCCAATATGGTCGTTCACTTGTTCGTTCCGTACAGCCAATGGTGGTGTTCCGGTTGTGAACAATCTCAGGACCACTACGCGGGTCGTGTGTTGCTAAGCTGTGTTTGGTGAGAGCCGCCAACTCACCTACTTTCCGGACGTGCCGTACCGATGGTGACCTTGGGGATATGTCACTCTCTGCACATGTGCTTTTTCTTCTGTCTGGGCGCGTCCTGACATCAGCGAAAGCGATTAAAATGAGAAGCTTGTTTTCCTAAATTTACCCGAAGTTCCAGTTTAAATTGTTAACTTTGAAGGATGGCGTCATGTAGAACACACAGACTTGCACAGGTTCCGTCTGCTTCAGTGGTTTCGAAGCGATGGATGACACTCACATTTGTGTAGTTCCTTTGGAAACGGGTGCGTGTGTAGCTCCCAAAGGTTTGGTAAGCAAACTCGACTAAATTACTACGTCGTAAGGAATTGCAACATTATTCAAGAACCCATAACGGCCCCGTTCAAATGTGTTCACTTGTCCTGAATGCTTTAAGCACGAGTCTTTCTCGTGTCCCACGTAAGTGTATAGCTTACCTCCTGTGAAGTTTATTTCATCAAGTGTCTGGTTTTCTGAAGCGCATCCATACCCAGGTTATTCTAATGTGACGATCGCGCACGCGCAACCCTATTTCTAAAGCTGCCACAGTCACGTTTTATAACACTGGCGACCTACGGCTCTAGATATGCAGTGCTCGTCATTCATCAATCTGACTTTCTGCCTCTCTTTCCAGACCGAAAATACAGCCCAATCCACTGAGGAAATTCACTCTGTCAGCGATATTGGCACTACATCAGAGAGCATGTCAGAGATTGAAACAGAACAACTTGAGGTGGGTGGGACTGTTTCTGCTTTGCGCCAGATGTATTTTGCAAGACCGTGGAACAAGATAAGAGTAATCTTTGCGGTTAGTGCTTTACTCTTCACAAACTACTAGTGAGGGGACTCGAAACCGTTCAGCTTTCGCTCTTCCCCGTACGACGTTCGCCAGTTTACCAACATGCATTCTGGTCAGAATAGGAAGAAAGATGACGTAGGTCATCCGCTTGCATTTGCCGTATTCGAATTCATGAGAATCTGGCGCTGTTGAGTGAATCTGTTGCTTAGCCAAGTCTGGGCTGTTCTCAAATGTGAGACAGCCTATCACCATAGCAAACATTACGTTCAGTTTTCGACGCATTATTCAGCCAATATGCAGAAGAAAATGCTTTTATGTATTGCTTCCCTACTGTATTGATTGGAGGGACAAAGTGGAACAACTTTAGGGTGCTCCGCACACCTCCATTGTTCTGTTCGCACTTTGACAGAAGTATACCAAAAACAGGACATATTTGAAGGTCCTAATTCCCGCGACTGGGGGCCCTGATGGAGTAGTGTTATTGCACCTCCTGATGGTTGAATGGCCGGAGGTAGTGTCCTGTACAGCCGAGGATATTCACTGCTAGTTGACTTGAACAACAACAAAACTCGAATTCAGAGCTTCATGTCATGGACTCAATGAAAGCGCTATAAATACGGCAACGTGGATGTGAATACAGCTAAGTCTGTATTTGCAGACTACCAATCTAAACTGATTTACTTGTGAGTGATTTAAGAATATTCAATCGTATCCGCTTTATCACCAAACGTTTGATTACCGGTTGAACAGCCTAATTGTGTGGTACCCCATAACACTGGTGGTTATCCGTGAATTTCGATGTGTTTATTTAGACAAATGTTTGAATGTACTGTGCGATCATTCCACATCTTTGAAGGCCAGGCAGCAATTGGGTTTATGGACAGTCCGAGCTCTGACAGTACTAGATGTAACGAATCCAGAACGCAGAGACGAAAAGTCATCATCAAAGACAGCAACATCAGTGTTGCCACTGATGCTTCACTGTCGTACTATGGTTGTACGTGAGCAGGGATACTGCCAGGGCGCCCACACCGAGACAGGAGGACGATTAGTGTCCACATCCAAAGCCTTTGGCTCAAAAGCCTAATCGCAAGGCAGCGGTGTTCGGCTGGAAAGGCAAGTAAATTACCATTTTTTTACGGAAAACGTCGCCATACATGTTCCAACCCCCAATTTGGAGGGCCAGGAGACTGTGTTCGTCGGACCTCTACCTGGTATGAGAGACCCTGTGAGCATCATGCGGATACTCCTCAGTATAGCTCAATGGGTCGCCCAGGTACACAAACCGCCACACCACGGTAAGGTCCAGTCTCTTCGTGACGAAAACTAACCACATAAATTGGTATCAAGCTTAAACTTAAGACATATTTATCCTTGTATTCGGTGTTCTTTGACCACTCTATCCTTTGTCTTTGCGCCAGCTGTCTTCAACAAAGACCATCGCAACTGCAGAGATCAAAACAGAAACGGAGCCGGAAGGATCGACCGTGTGCACAGACCCTTCTCACAGACACGAGGTGATTTAACAGACTGTTCAAATAATATGGAATTTTTGTTGTCTTAGTTATAGTTAGTTAGTTAGTTAGTTAGTTAGTTAGTTAGTTAGTTAGTTAGTTAGTTAGTTAGTTAGTTAGTTAGTTAGTTAGTTAGTTAGTTAGTTAGTTAGTTAGTTAGTTAGTTAGTTAGTTAGTTAGTTAGTTAGTTAGTTAGTTAGTTAGTTAGTTAGTTAGTTAGTTAGTTAGTTAGTTAGTTAGTTAGTTAGTTAGTTAGTTAGTTAGTTAGTTAGTTAGTTAGTTAGTTAGTTAGTTAGTTAGTTAGTTAGTTAGTTAGTTAGTTAGTTAGTTAGTTAGTTAGTTAGTTAGTTAGTTAGTTAGTTAGTTAGTTAGTTAGTTAGTTAGTTAGTTGGTTAATTGGTATTAGTTAGTTCATATTTTGATAGCGCTTGCTCAAAGAAGTAATGAATTCCAGATCGTAGACTCAGAGAAAAGTCTGACGAGTTTGACTCGACCACCAGTTTCATGCAGGTCTACCGTTTCCTTAGTAGATAGCCCGTTTGTTCTTGGTCATGACTTTTTTAGAAGCTTGGTTTAGAATAGTGATACAATATGTTGTAAGCCTCCAGTAAGGTAACCTGCTTGGCGGGCATGCGAATAGAACATGTGACCCTTTAGGGCCAACCAAGATGTTTATTTACCCCAGCAAAGAAGAATCCAACGTCTGAATGTACAACCACCATTCGGAATGGTCTCCCGTAGAAGTACAGATGTTACGTCTGAGTCTTTGAATCTGGGAGTTCATCTAAACGGTCTACAACAACAGTCTTCAATAAATAGGCTATGTTGAAACAATTTGTGTCGCCTCAGGATGCACTAGTGTTGTGACAGATTTGACACCATAAAGGAAACTACTCACGGGGTTGCTGAAAATTCATCGACAGCCCACTACCGGTTTCGCCCTTCTTGGAGCTCATCAGGCAGGCGCAGTCGCCGTTCCCGTCAACCTTATGTTCTACTTGAACAGAAATTGGCTGTTTTCAAGAAATACTCTCATTTGAAAATCAATTTGGTTTTCTCTAGAGTAGTTCTCTTTATGATAATATACTGCGATATCTGGAATATCGTGCCAAGTGAAACATGAGGCTCCCTGTGTGCAGCACATTCAGTTGTAGAACATTAAAAACGAGCGATTCAGTTGGGTCTCGCAAAAACCATATTGATTTGCTATACATTTCGTTTATTTTCAGTCACCAGATAGCAAGATGGAACGACAAGAGAACGGCAAGTGGAAGACAGAAACAGTGTCAAAACTGATGAATACTATGGTCCAACTGTTGGGCGTTTCCACCAAGGAGTTGAATGGATATCAATATGTGATGGCTTTGCGTGGTCCGGATGGCAGTCTCTATGTTCCGCAGCATCATAAGAAAAGCACCCGAGAACATCTCGCTGCACTTTTGGGGTAAGATACTCATCCAAAGTTGGTTGATCGCACAAATGTCGTTCAAACTGTGTGCATCAAACTGAAGTGATAAGTGATCTATTACCTGTTGTGGAGTTGCTCATCGAAGATGAAAAGGAATAACTCACCTTTTGATTTACTTGAACAACGTAAAAGTTGTTTGTTTCGACTATGGTCGCAAGATCTTTTGCTATAAGACCACATACTACCCAGAAACTGAGACATATAGCAACGTACATCTTGCTTGAGTTTCAAAAAATGTGTAAAGACGTAGTAGATGTGTATAAGGAGCGCTTAAAGCAAAAGAATGGCCGATCACCAGCCCGGCGTAAAAAGCAAGGCAGGTTGTCCACAAGACGTTCGCCCTCATATGAAAAGACCATTTTATCCAACACACTTGGCTGACTCACATTTTTTCATCTCATTTTACTTCAGTTTTGCCGATGAAATCATCGTGAGCAAAAGTGAGTCAGTTTTTTTGCATTCACCAATTTCAAACCGAATTTGAGAGAAATCAGAATAGACACAAATGACAAGGTTCCAGCCCGTTGGGGGAACAATGCTTGTTCTTGAATTGGATTTGCATTGTACCATCCTACCGATTCAACCTCACCAGCCAATAACTGTGGGTGTTTCCACCGGCTTATTTGAGGGACCGTTTTGGAAAAGTGCTGTGACAACAATCTGGTCCAAATGCCACTTGGAGTTTTAACGGAAATATTTTCTCGCACCAATATTTTAACTGAAATATTTTCTCAGTGAGCACCAATATCAAACAGCAAATATCTTGAAGACGAGTCCCCCTGGCGGAATCTTATTATTAAAGCGACTTTCGAAAGCCATGCAGTTAGACTGAGAAGTATACATAAGAATATATTTTCTGCAGTGGATAAATCAGAAAAAGCAAGTTTCTAGCTTACTGTCTGCAGTTTCCAGTCTCCTACCTCAAGCAGTTTTTTGTTTTGTTCTGACTACTGCGATAAAACCAGTAGACAAATGTAAAACGGCCTCATCATCGTAATGCGTGGTCTTCCTGAACGACTTCTTGCACATTCACCAGATGGACCAATAGGCTTTCGAAGATAAGAATCATTCATATGTACATGTATATCGACTTTCTTGATAATGACAGATCCACTGAGGGAGTAAACGTACCGCCAAATTTATATTAGGAAGTCGATTTTTTTGGAACTTGCCGCCCTCCAGAACACCTGTGTGCTCAATGTCTGTACCTGATTGCGTTGAAATGTTCCTTAGATCTGTCTGCGCTCTTGGTTCTTCGCAGAAGACGAGATCACCATCTCACTGAAATAAACAGTATGTCCAATTTCTGGTATCCAACTACGCAAGTCTTTGACATGACTTCAATAAGCAAATCTAAGCCTTTTCTGTTATGTGGCATATGCAGCTTAGGATGACGCTGACCCGCACGGTAACAAAACCGTTTGCCTTTGATTCTGGTTAACTTCTGATCCACGGCCACTCACGTCTTGATGACGCTTTCATAAACAACAAATCTGTAGTCTGATTGTATCAGTAGTTGTAAACGATGGGCCATACTAAAGACACTAAAGGAATACTTCTGAGAACAAAGGGTGTACATCTAGGCTATATTATATGTGAATACGTTTTGTGTGGGGCAGCTAATAATTCCAAGAAGCTAGGTGAGTAAGGAACAGGTTCTTGAGCCTACCCGGTTTTGAAACTGCCTGAATTCTTCCTCCTTCATCTGGAGTGCAGTGGAGGGTTTTGCGCTGTTGGACAGATCATTTTCCACAACCGTTTCAGATAAGACATACTATTTATCTCTTCAGATGCATTGAGTCACTTGGATGAGGAAGAATCGACAGTCACAGAAACACGAAAATACAGTGTCGCCGCCGGTTCCACCCAACCCGAAATCCAGGATGACATCACAGAGTCTCCGCAGGAGAATCATACAGAAGAATCAATGAAGGAAGTGTTGGTTGAAACAAATGCCCTCACAGAGACTTTGGTGGATCATGAATGGGCTACGGATAATGAAGCGAAATTAAACGACAAAAGCACCAGTAGCACGGAGGATCTTCTAGAACCCAGCGAACTGACACCTCATGACTCACATTCAGAAGCTAGCGAATCCAACCAAGCGAGTTTAACAATCCACCAGACGTCTGAACCAACAGGACAGACTGACACTTCCACAAGTGAACCTCAGATTTCAATGCCAGTGGAAATCCACCCTGAAGAAACGTTGGAAGGACTGACCAAATTATTCCGTAAAGTGAACGAAAACGTGGACGGATTGATCAAGTTTATTAAATCACCAGAACTTTTGGAGGAAAAATTGAAAAATATTACAAAACCATTTCTATCCGATGTTGAATCGGTTGCTGAAACACATCTTGCAAGATTATTGGGACAAGATGTGGACGAGGAATCAAGCCTGAAAGCCAAATCAGTGTCCGATGAGTTTTCGGGGGTGGATGGTTCCCAAGATGAATACAAATTTCCCGTTGATACGCTAGAGACGATTGAAGCCATGGAACCGTCAACAGAAATAATAAGCACGAAGGATCAGGAGAATGGGCAAGAAGTGCCACTTGAACATTATTAGGTGAGACTTCAGTTTTTGTTAGTGTTCCTCAAATGACAGAGTACACAGGTTGATGATTTGTGAAGTTCATAAGGAATGGAATGCCTCAAATCATATGGTTTGTAACGGTACATTAGTCTGGTAACTGTGAGAGGCGTTTTCGTCAATCCTCATTAGTAATCATCTATCACGCAGTCTCTGACAAGGCTGAGTCTGAGCAGGAGACCTGTCCATCCTTTCAAATTCGACGTCTCTGAAGCAATTCCACAAAGAGTATAATTTTTGTGTGTTCTCAATCAAGGTCGCCGTATAGAGGAGAGGTGGATGATTAGTTCTGACTATACTACTCAAGTAGTTCGAAATCGGGTATCGAGCAAAGTTTTGCTTGTTGGAAACTAACGAAAAATCAGAATCAGGTAAGTGCAAAACCGTTACGAGACCCAAGGAATCGGTAACCGAAAAGACTCCAAGCGAACTGTGTTTGTGGAGAGGCGAAAACACAGTCAACGGCGTCGCCAATTTTGCTTTGTTTCTTGACTGATTTTGGAAAGAATAGCTAAAGCGAGAGAACATAGATTAAACAAGTTTTGTGCGTCGACAAATTTTCAATCCCATTCAGACTCCTGTGAGTGAGCAATAAGCATTTTCTCTCGTGAATTTCTGCTCACTTTGGCTCTGGTACATCTAAGTTGTATTGAACCCTCCAGTACTCCAAGGCCTACTCATCTCAAGGGCTGAAATAATGGCACAGAGGAGACTTCTGACCTCAGATTTATAGAGGGAATTCTGTGTTATAATCACATGGCTGAACAAAGAGGTCCCTCTACACCGTTTGTCCTTTTTAATAAATATCGTGTAGGTTCAGAGTACGGTACAGCAGACGTCTGTGAGTAATTCACGAGCCGTTTGAGGAACCGCTCGCACCCAAGTTAACATCACCTGTCGATATGTTTGAAGTAAACTGTGTTTTATTGGGTCTTGTCACCTGATTTACTGAATTTCTTCACTTTTCGGTGTATATGACAGTCAGATGTCACGAGTCATGCTTGTGAGCTTGCTTAATCAAATTTCTAACGGGAACAGTTGCATACCATTTACTGTCACTTTGCTGAGTAGAGTAGGATGATTCCGTTACATAAACTGAACCAAACGTGTTTTGGTGAACCTGAGCAGTGAGCTGCATTTTTTCCAATTCATCCTTTTTCTCCCTCCCACCTTAATTACCGCCACTGTTGCGTGATCATCAACATCATCGAAACTATCCTTACAATAGACCTTTTTGACGGCCTTTTACTCACGTCTAAATCAGTTTGTACTCCCCGCTGCTGAGCCAAAACTGTCTTGGTCGAACGAAAACAAGCTTCAATGTTTTACTGTTCGTAAACAGTAAAATGGTGAATAATAAAGTGATCTAAAACTGGAACGTCGTTGAAATTTCAAGGAAATGACTTCCGTTGCTTAGAGTAGAACTTGGTCAAAACAATGTATGATCACGTTTGAACTGACAAAATACCGACCACCTTTTATGTCACTTTTCACTCAAAAACACAAGATATTTCTAAATCAGAAGTAACCGGTTCTGAAACAGATATCCACTAGAAGCTCCATTCTGACTGACAACTACCGAATAGGTGTAGCAGGATTCGATTGCCAGATTTTCAGTTTCGGATTTCTCACTGAACCCCAAACCGACTGATCAACAGCCTCAATCAGTCGTGTGCATGGAATGGTCAGCTGAAGCTATTTGGGCTGTTTTTGGTACATACCCCATCGCAATTTGTGAGTGAGCGGACTGATACGGGCTTGTCAGCGAAGCTCCCCACTCAACGCTGCTATCAGGGCTTGATGAACGTATTGCTCCGTTCAGAGGATAGTAAGAAATTTCGTTCAATGATCGGGCTAGTCAACAAAAGTCATATTTTCAACACGCACGTTACACGAACCGAGGATAACTTCAATCTATCCTATTTCTAGTTTTGAAACACTATTGAGTACGGTAATGTCGACTGGTGAGTAAAAATGAGTTAAATACACTTGGGGTTTGACCTATTCAGATGACCCACGGTGTTGAACAACAGCTAATCTTTTTCAACGTTTTTTTGCTCCTCCAAGATAAACCAACCGAAGATCAAACGTGATGCGGGTTACGTACAAGCATGATTCTGATTTCTGATATTCGAACGTTCCACCAAAAAACCTACTGCTTCATATGTACCCTCTCCATGTGTATTCGTACAAATACAGTCTCATCTGTTCCAGACAATGTTTTATCAACACATTGGTTCGTGGGTTCACATTTACCTCTTATTTCCGGCATCTTCACCATCGTTTGTAATTTTGGAGAATATTCCTAGGTTTTGGGTTGTATTGTGCACTCAGTCGGTTGGGTGACCGCGAACAAGCGAATGTCTCTCCTGCAGAAATGAGTGGGTGGCAGCTGACCCCTCTGTGTCTTCAGTATCGATCAGTGTCTGAATCTATCAAGGGTGCTGTTATCTTGTCTCCAACCCGTCGGTAATATCCAGAAAATATAAACCATTTTCTGGGAATACAACCAAAGGTTTCCTCAAGTGTGATTTTGCCGTCCGTTTTTTCAGTATGCCATTTCCTGTGAGCGTAATCAACAGACTACGAAAAACACATTGGTACCACATGCTCAGTCAGCTTAACATCGCAGGGCTCTCGTACATCACGCATGGTTGCTACCCAAAAGTTTGTAGACTTTATGAACCATGGACTTTGGCTCCAAAGATAGTTCGGTTCTTAGTGTAAATATGCTGCGGACTTATTGTCATGAAACAGAAATCTTGAGGAGATCACTGCATTCAAGCTACGGGTTCGGACTAGAGAAGATTCATAGAAAACACACACCATAAAATAAAGCAATAAAGTAGTTAAATTGCGCTCCCTACTTATTAAAAATGATAGGCTGCGCTGGACATGCGATGCCAGATCGCAGCCATTTCTATCCAGGTAAACTGATCTTTTGCCTACATTGATACGGAATATACGTCTACAGAAAGTTTGACCTTGTGCACGCAGAATCTGCTATCTCAATTTAAGTGTAGGAAACATCTTGGTGTTGTAAGTTCTTTTGATCTGACATGTACAAACATTTTGATAAATCTTTTTCGTAATATTTTGTTGCTTCATATGTCAGTAGGAGAGTAACATGTCTCTGAGGGGTTTTAGCGTATATATTATCAGGCTTTTTAGCGACCGACTTAACCGCAAAGTAAAATCGACCGAACAAAAAGTAATCGATGGATACAAAGTTGATAAAGGACCACTCGTTTTCTGAGGTTACACTGTTGTGTCGTCGAACTCAATGAATATAAGGAGATTTTAATGGCACCTGACCTGAAATAGGAAGAAAGATGATTCATTATACAGACATTTCCCCCTTGGTTTTCGACGGATCCTGTATGAGCTATATCATACAAGTTTAACGGCGTATAGTACTTAGGAATAGTGCAAGTAGTACCTTACGAAATGGTCCAAAGAGACTTTGCTGCGTTTGAAGATTGATTCTGTAATTGTTGAACCATTTTAAAGTGTTGATCAGTACTTCAAAGACATCCAGGATGACTCAGGAAGACGCTCGAGAACGCTGGTTTTTCCCCACAGCTTTACAAGTGAGGTTTTCTACTTCCGTGCCTGTAACAGCTTCGCTTGTTATTTAGCAGCCTCACACACAAAGCCTTTTTCTCATTCACCCACATCTTTCTGTTTGACATTCTGTTTTGACTCTGTATGTACAACCGTTCAGCTCAACAAAATATACTGAACTCATACATATTTTAACCGAAGTGTTTCCATGAGACGTGGTAACATGGTGAACAGGTAGGCAGTTTTTAACAATGTGTGTCACATTTGTCAAACTAATCGATAATCAAGACACCAGGGTACCAGTAATGCAGCACTTCACTTCAAGTATGTGTGCTCCAAGGCGGCTGACTTCCTAATGGAAATGAATGTGTTTCATACATTTGAATCTGTTGCTTTGTTATGGTCCTACGCCCAAATGATATTTAATTTTTCAATCCTTCCCATCAATCAAGCATACTTTTGATTGGCTTGTTTTGTCGCTCACGTGAATTCAGATGTACTGATTAGGGTGTCTTCTTCGTGTTCGCAGACTTTCTGTTCTGTGGTTATGTATGAAGGGTTATTACTTTGGTTTGCGACAAACTATGGCGTTGCAATTCAATGGTGGGAACTGAACAGAGAACACGGTAGGTTAGGGGCGGTCTCCCAAATATCAGTCTACCGGTGGAACGCTAGTCCAGCTGCAGTTCATTGAAACCACTGCTCCCTTTTTACGAGTTGAATTTCTGGCTTCCTTCTATATGCAGCGATAGATGTACAAAAACTATTAAGCCAACGTATTATATTGTCTACTCATAGATGTTTGTGTAAGAAACTAATTGTACAGTCCGTGTGTGTGCGAAATGATTGCTTTTTAACTTTCACAAAAAGAACATTCCTGTCGAAACGGATCGAATCGGCCTTCCTGATTTTAGCGAATTAGTAGGCTAAACTCTTTCCGGAAATCTTTCTAGGCCTCCTTATGCATTTTGTCAATCTGTCAAATGGTTACCGAGTCTTTTTTTCACATTAACTTGAGATTAGAAGTGGCAAGCGTTTACTGGGTCATACAACAACTCCACTAGTGTTGCCTTCTTCTCTGCGCTCAAAAGATGACAGTGCAGTGTTGTTTTACATAGTGGACACTAAACTGTTTGCAATCGTGCGTGAGAATGCATGAACCGGTGGAAGGAACCCAATACTGACCATCAAGAAACCAAGTAGTTTGTTATGGAGACGGGTCAAATATGGAGAAAAGTTACCCAATTGGAATCACAATGAAGCAGTCTGCTGAGTCTTGTCTTTGCTGCACGGTAAATTTCTCAAGAGTTGGGGTAAGATGATTGTCAGAGCACTTGTAAAAATGGGGGAACATCGACCTCCGTGGCAACATACACCTGTGAAAGGAAGAAGGCCTTCGCTACAGAGTTATTGATTAGAAAAGATCAACCGAACAGTTACAGACTATTGGACAGGAAAGCAAAACTCTCATATGCGTCTTGTTTATAAAAAACTGAATAACCGTCTTCTTTTAGAAGGCCTCTTCCTAAACTTTCCTGGATATTGATTGACTGTTACTCAAATGCGAGCAAATGCTACAAAGCGAATCCACAAATTCCGTAATAAATCCCAGTTTCCAACACACACAAGGCGGAGTTACGTGAAACCCTGTTACTCACATACCTCACCAGTAGTATCCCCCGTTACACCAGTACCTCCAACACTGCGTACATAGTAGCATCTGTCTGTAAACAGTTTACAAGTCGAAACCAAAGGCGAGGATCGAGTGATGCCTAAAACGAAAATATTCCTTCTTTAGCGTACGAACAATGCAAAGAACGAGCAACGCTTTCCAAAAGAAACTGAACTTTCGAGGGTCGACTCACACGTATATAGCGATTCTGTCATTCGTAAACAAGCGGTCCTAACTGAGTTCCCGTGAGCAACGTACAATCTTGCTAGCAGGCAGTCAGTGCTAAACAATAACTTTTATGTCACGCTTGTCCTGCCACAACGTGAATTTCAGTAAAAACGTCTCGAACATGGCTCGTTGTTCCATCAAGTTTGAAGAAGCATTTCGTATGAATACGCTGACAGTTTTGCCATAGTCTCAGACATCAGTACTATTTCCCGTTGTCCCGCATCATCATTCTGGTTTTCTCCAATCCAGCCCCATTTAATCTAACCACGACGCGTTGAATCAGATAATCTCTATGTCTTTTGATTTCTGGCATGCCCAGGTAATAACAGACCGGCGTATGTACCCCACGCACCCACGTTGTACTACGACCAAGCTCGAAACTCTGGTGTCCGTAATTAGTTGGGACTATCTACACACCAGTTTAGTCACTGGTGTGTACTTTTCACATTGTCTAGAGTTGCTCCGTTCTGGCCAGGCCTAATTCAGGAGGCCTGATCAACTGGAGCAACCTGAAAGCAAGCCGAGGTGAAGTGATGTGATTCTAGGTCAAGTACAGAAGCTAAAGTGCAGATCGGTCAGTCTGTGAGGGTAAAACTGCAGTGTCCCCAGGATTCAATGAGATATCTATCAGAGACATGTGTACAATCGAAATAGCCTGCTGAAGGTACGGACGCGAGTAGGTTGTGCGCTAGTGTAGGGGTGGTGAGTATTTTGAACCCAAGTATGCTTACTCGTCCGAGTGAGAAATGACTCTCACTGACTGAACAGGTGTTTGCTTGAAATGGTTGTTTGAGCTAGGTTAAAAAACAACTGCCTCTAGAAGGTGAGCAAGCCCTAAAAAACACTTATGGATGCTAATGCACATACTAGGGGTTGTCAAAACAAAATTTTACCTACAAGAACTACGCAGTCGCATGTTAAAGACCACCAATCTTGTGCTTAACCCAGTTGGTTTGTCCAACCACGGATCGTTTTGTCTGGGCTCCTATAGCATTTGAATGCATAAGCTTATCGGTACCGCATCCGTTGCTTTGAAATCGATAAGAAAGGACTTTATATCAACAGTTTTTCAGGTTTCAATAACGGTTGGAAACCTTAGTGAAACGGTTAACCAAATAAGTTAGTGTGCCACAGTGGTTTGTATAACATTTGTCACCTTGCGTTATCTTAACCCTAAAAAGGACTACACAGTTTTTCATGAAGGAAACTACTCACAAGCTTGCTGAAAACTCTTCGACTACACGGTTTGTTTAGTCAAACCCATCGACGGGTCAGGGCCTGCGCGTAGAATATCAAACTGCCAAGTAACAGGGAACAGTACTTAAATGGCCGCTGTCGGTTAACGGGATCCGGGTGAGTGACCATAAAGTCAATGAGTGCCTCTCAACAAGGGCTTTTCCCCTAGCTGGAAGTAATGACCTGTGATAAAAACCTACTCTAACTGATAAAACGAGTAAAACACAAGATTGAGGAGAACTTAAGGACTGCCTGACGAGTCCCAAGAGTGGCGGAAGCGGTCGTGGACTGCCGAACAATTTTCAGCAACCTTACGAGTAGTGTGTTACGTTTAAGCACTTGTGCTTTCATAAAGAAAACTGTCGTTTCTACAGTCAGCACTTAGTTACTTCATTTTTATGTGTATAATCTAGGTACACCGAGTAAGTGAACGCAGCAAATTGCAAATCGATATAAGCGTTCACATCCATTGTGGATACGTATGTTTGTTGCTACGGGTGGAACACAAAGTTCTA